TGCCGTTGTACTAATAAATCTTGTTAGGGAGCTCTGGTCCTCCGCTTCATCTTCCAATATAAAACAGGAATCACACCATATCTATATGCAAGATTGATCTAACTGGAGCGGATTGGGTCCTTTGGGACTCAGGTAGAGATAGAATAATGGGAATCTGTCTTCCCAGGATACTAATTTTTTCTTCCTCCATATTGACCACCGTTCAAATCGCCAAAAGAAGAAGTTTCAATAAACATGTCAAAATTATTATTAGGCAGAACCACCACAGGGCGGAAGCCCTGACTGAACTCAACCTCAGGGATAATATGCTATAAGAACCCTCTGACACAATGCTCTGTGCCCCTGAAGTCCCATAACTACTTGATGTTCCACATCAGGCTTTAGCAGAGGCTTAGCCACAAGCTTGGTGGATATTATATTGACAGGGGCGCCAGTATCTATATTAGCTCAGATTTTTGTGTTCTAAACAAAAACATCACAGTAGGTACGCTACAAAAAATAAAAACTGTTGATGTTTATTTAATGTACATCCAAGAGCTTTTTGTTACCAAGGAATATAAGATATACCTATGCTGACATGAGGATACTCCTAAGCAATCTTTTCAACTATAATTGCAACGTTCACTCCCACTATGGAGGTGACATCCGTTGAGAGTCTAATTTCACCAGTGCTGTTTTGTTCAAGGATTCGCCAGGCATACAGCTTTTGCACATATTGGCATAACGCTGAGTATGGAGGGTTATGGTCACTCTCTTGGGTTGAGGCCAAGATATATTGAAGAAGTTGTTTATATGTTAAGTCGTCAGGGTGAGTATTGGGATTGACATAAAGAAACTCATGAAAATTGTTAAAGGCAAATAAATTTGGATTAGTGGCCGTAGAGCATCCCGTCTCTACTCCACTCAAGAATTTCCCTATTCAATCAGGGTGGGTGGTAATGCATGAATATGTAGTTTTCCAGGCAGTTAGGTGCATAGTGGCCTCTTTGGCTGAACGAGAAACAAACGTTCATAAACAGATCCCATCTCTAGATCACACCCGGAGGTCCAGGTCAGAAGTTAAATAGAGAATTATAATTTGCCAGGGATGGGCCATTTGGGTGTAGGGAGGATGGAAAGCAGCCACCGGCATATTAAGTGGGTAAGTAATGTTCAACGGATTATAATTGGGTTTATGTGGTCAATTTTTCCAACAGGGATGCTGCGGCAATCATAGGGGCTTTCCACTCCACGTTGGGAGCACTAAATGTCACAGAAAGATGGCGTAAAGAGTCAACTATCTGTAAAAGCTCTGCGTCTTCTTGAAGAACTTGAATCATAGCGTTATACAGTTCTTGATTTGGCTTAATAGCTGCCATCATTGCTATGCCCCATCCCCATTGGTTAAGGTATTTTCTCTTTTTAACAAATGAGCCTCCATGAACCGCTCTGCAAACTCTACCAGAGACATGTAATTTTTAAAACTGTATTTTCAGAAATTTGGCCTTGCGCTGTGCTATCTTTGCCACACCCCATACAGATGAAGCACAGTCTCTTTCACCTCTTGATATGTTACAGTACTACTCTTAGGTAACATGTGACCTAGTCAGCGCTCTAAAAATCCATTTCAGATAGCAACAATTTAGCTTTAATCCAGTCCAATGCTCTTTCCACGGAGAATTTGAACCATTTGAAATATCCATGCATGTTCCCGTCTCAACTGAAAGGTGGCAACTTCTCAATCCATACAAAATCACCTGACTTTGTGCTTTGGGCTTGAGGATCAGACATATAGGTTCAGATTGGCCACGGGGAGCATCCACTTGTGGGCAAGAATGGGGATGCTGTATGGATGTGAATCCTCCTTAGTTGACCAGGAAGAGGCTGAATTGCTGGGAGGGACTTTTTGCAGCCACCAAGAAGTACTTGCTGGCTAAACAATAGTATTCCTTGACAGAATCACCACTGGCTGCTCACTTTTCTCCCTTGCCAGTCTATCCAGCAACAAGTTTGTCTATTACCTGCTCCACTTTGACCAAATAGCATGCACACCGCCCATCTCTCACCCCCTGCCTCAGCTTCTTGACTTTTTTTGGAATTTGCAGCGTAATTCTCACTCTGTGTCCCATTTACGCTCCATTTCCTGAAACTGTATGAGGACATCGTCCAGCGTGCCCTGCATTCTAGCGTTCTGCCATCCAGTGTCATGTTCTTGTCAGATCACTTCATCCACTTGATTGATTAGAGTGGCTCATTCCTGCACCAGCTCCTCATTAGAATTGTGAAGGTTATCCAAATGAACTAACCTATCAGCATACTCCACCTTCTCAATGAACAGAAGAGTAATAGCTCAGCCCCAAGCCGCCTGGCTGGAACTCTCCAACTGATTTGACCTATCGATTGGCTGTATTCTGAGGTTACCAAGAAAGAGCTTGTCAAATGGTCAGCCACCCGCTGATTACTCCACTCATCTTGAAGCTGGATATATTTGATTGCCACTGCTTTGGCATAATCAGTCATCCACCACTCTAATGGGATAGCACAGTCCCTCATCTTAAACCGCCATTTTTATTCCTTCTACCCATTCAGACATTATCACCATAAAGCGCTCAGTGTTACTACCTAGAGTCATGACATCCCGTACCTATTCACCAAAAAGTCCATGGCGATCTAACAATTCTCTTACCACTTAGAGCAACTCATAATTCAAGTGTGGAACTAACATGTCCAAGTGGTCGCGGATGTCCAAAACATGACTGTCTACATGAACTAGTGCCCCCTGGATTTCTGAAAAAGAGTGTTTGAGGCATTCCAGTAAGAGGCGAGTATCATTCAGTTGCACTTGGACAAAATGCATGACATCGCCAATCTCAATGTTATGCTGGTACAACACACATATTAGTTTGTAGATTAAAGCCTGAACGTACGCAATCATTATTCCTCAACTACATGGGAGCCAAGCCATAGAGACAATCTAATGTGGTAGCATTGAAAGTAAGAGATATACAGCTCATAATGGGCTTCTTGGCCACATTGGTTATAAAACAGACTCAGGGCATGTTCACCCACATCTCTTTCATAAATAAGGTAGTTCCACAAAAACACTCTATGATAGCCCACAATTTTTGAGGGATTACGCTAGTGTATCTGCCTGTTAGTCTTATTCCAATCTGTGACAAGCTGCTAACTCAAATTCCATTCTGGTTTCCTCATCTCCTGGTTCCATCATCATAAATAGTGCCAGTTTTTTATTATATGTCTCCAACAGCTCACAAGAGTATTGGCCATGAAACCCTATTAAAATTTGATTTAAAGAATGGGGGCTCAGCATGATGCCCTAGTTGCCATTGTACTACAGTTGACCAGTGGCCCCCTGTAGCGAGCACCACTGTTAACTTTTGGCGGTATTGATTAAATCAGCTAGGCTAGTTACACAAGTTTAACACTACCAAGCTATGGATGGATGTTATGAAGGTCACTAATCCTTGGTAAATAATAAAAAAAATAAAAATATGAAGCTATTGCTCCAACGGAAACTACTTTATTATAATAAAGTAATAGACTAATTTTGCTAACCCTTTTCCTTCTCTCTTTTCTTCCAAAAGACCTTCTCCTTTCCATTCTCTCAATTGCCTCTTAATCTTCTATGTTCTAAGTCAATTCTAACCCATCCACTTAGTCACTCACTATTAACTACACTTTTAGGGGCTTCATCCCATCATTGAGGCCTCAGCGAAAACCTCTCTATTCACCAAATTAATATCACTTTGAATGATTTTGCTTCCAGTTGACTTAATCTGCCACCCCAATTTGAGGCTCACCTCAAGTAACAATAAGTGATCTTCCAAATATAGCTTATCATCCAGTCATAACAATTTCTTGACAGGCGCTACTTTTGCTTACTGAAGCTCTTGGACATCCTCTAGTTGCTGGTAATTATTAAGCTATGCTCTTGGGAGGTGAGGGTCAGTCTGCAAAATTGTAAGAATGGATTTGGTAGAGGTAATGAGGCAGTCCATGGGATGCTCCCTTATTTAGCTTCCTTAAATTTTTAAAGTTATATAAATTGGGTCATGCTCCATCATTGCAGTTCTGGCATTTTTTTGACAAATACAGAATAGAATAAGTAATCTTGGGTGATAAATAAAGGTAGAGTTGTAATTGGGTTTAAGTAATCTAAAATTAAAAGTAAAATGAAAGATTATACCACAAAAATTAGAATAAAAATGGATATAATTTGTAGTTGAGGGGAATTTCGAGAAAAAAGGTGTTAGTAGAGGGATTTACCTGGAGTACTTTTGCAAATTTATCAGTATAGTTGAATGATTTATATACACAAGAGTTCAATCATTTCAACAACAAAATACTAAGCAGTGTGGGGATTGAGTTGGCGCAAAACTAGGAGTGTTACCATAATAATATTTGCATTTCTATCTGAAAAGGAGTAGTAAGCACCACTTAGCTTATTGACCTTGGTGGAAACCTAACAGCATCACCCAGGATAATAAACAAGTTACTGCCATGAAAAGCATTATCATCGCTTCAGTAACACCAATAAACACCCTTATTTATTGGCACCCTTCCCAACCAATACATATAAATGAATCTAATTGTTGACAATTATTCTCCAACTAAATTCACTTATAAACATTGTTAGTAATTTCACCTGACAAGCCATTAATAAGCATATAGATTGGAATAAAAGACCAATAATGATACTTAATATTGTTTTGTAGGAGAACATATCTGATCAATGACTACAAATTTTTAGTTGATTGATAATATCAGCAACCATTATGTATTTTATTATTTTATTTATTTGAGGCAAGCTGACCAGGGAAAGGCATTACTGAAAGAAAGAAAGAATTGACATGAAACCTGAGCAGGGTCAACTATGTCAAAGAAAGTTTTTACCACCAGATTGGGACTCAGATCTTTCTGGTTACATCATGGGTAAGGTTTTTGTGTTATTAGACCTACTAACCGCCATTAGCTTCCTTTGGCTGGCACCTCAATCAATGTGTGGAGGGTGGGAATTGAACCTGCAACCTTTAGATTGGTAGCCATACGCCCTACCAACTCACCTTTCACCCCCACAATGTAGTTTATTATCAAATCAAATAAAGTAGGATAAAGACATATGAGTAATAGGTATCTGTCACAGATGTATAATTTGGAATGTCAAAATTCAACACATCTGTTGGATAATTAATTGATTTGATTTTTAGTTTTAAACTTGGGAACACAACTAGATCTAAATCAGTTATTAGATTTTTCCTCAAAATGAATTATAATGAAGTTGACCACATGACATCCCATTAAACCTTTCCCTGACCTAACAAACCCTTTGCACAATTGCATTGTATGATAGTCTTTGATCCTCATCATGGGAGCACTAATGTCCATAAATGAAGTAATTCGAATATAAATATAATTTGCCTATTCTAAATAGATAATCACCTCATTTATCGAATCTAGTCATTTATTTGTGTACTTTAGAGTAGTCTTATCTTTACTAAAGTGCTGAGAACTTTACTGCGTTGTAATCTTATACAGTAGCGATATAGTTTTACTGACAAATTATAACCTGTGCAGTAGCAAGAAAAGGGACCTCTCAATACAAAAGTGGTGCTCACTACAGGGGACTGAAGTAGCAAAGAAGAATAAATTTTTCCTTTACAATGATTTGATTTAAGTTAAAGAGAACAGAGGGGCTGCCAATCCAGCACCTTTTACGTTTCTCCTACCACTCCTAATTGACTGACACTGGAGAAAGTAAATTTTTGTTATTCTCCTCAATTTGAGCGCTTTGAGACTTGTACCTTCACAGTGGAGCATCTGAGAGAGATTGGGGACATTTTTGTTTGGGGATTCCTGCTATTTGGCCACAAAAAATCTGACCTGTACCTACTTTGTTCTATTGTCAGTAGAATTAGGACCTGCTGATTCAGCAGTATGAAATTTTCAGGGCTTTAAGTCATTGTGAAGTACTAAACAGCTAGAAGTCTCTCCAATTTTGGAAATACCTAGCATGATATCTTCAATTCACTGTGCAAAAATTTTTAACTGACCTTTTTTCGCCACCATGCCCTAAACAATGGAAGTGTTCATATGAGACCAACAAATTGTAGAAGCACTACAGGACCAGAATAGGCAGCTTGAGACCAGATTCCAAGGGGTGAGCCAGGCTGTTAATGACAAACATAACCTTAGTGTTCAAACCTTGCAGCATTTTTTGGACTTATTTATCAAATAAAAAGGAACGTTTTCGCCATAATTTATCAAGCCATGGACAACTGCGAGTCACCAATGAATGTGTCCAAAAGGATGATTCGTTTTTGAGAAGGAGGTCAAGCATAGCTGTGTCACTCCAGGAGACATAATTCGCCAAGCTTAGTTGATCAAAGCCCTTGACCAATACATCCAATGCGAGATGAGGAATGGCTGCACAGCACTTGTGAAGCAACATTGGGACCACTGACCACCTCCTGTATGAGTTGTTACAGATCAAAATTCAACAAGCAGCCATGTGACAGGGTATCAGAATTAAGATGCTTAGTCTGGACGCATCAACTTTACAGTGGAGAACTCATCCAGTCAAATGATGACCTTGGCGATATATCTGCAAACTTCAGAAATGTGTGAAAACTCATAAAAGTAAATTTTAGAACTGTACACTAGTGTACGTGACATTTGAAGACACCTTATTGACTTGTAACAGTTCAAGCTGAAAGATTTAATAACAGGGATTTTATATCACTTGGGAACAATAAATTGAAAGTAAGATACAGGATTGCAGTTGTTGATGTCATCCTCCAACTCTAGATCCTTCTCATTCCAAGCTATTCAGGGAGGAACCCCCAGAAGAAGAGGTTTCCAAGAACCAGTGCATCAACCAACCCGTGCTGTACTACCCTCATTGCTCTTTTTGCTTTTTTCGTTGCAACTCTATCTTATGAACAGAGCCAACTTCACTCCAGTAAATTAGGACCTTGGGTCAGTGTTGCACTAATGATGTTTGGACCCAGAAATTTTTATTCAGGATATCAGAGGTTTAATCTGGTTAATCTTCCTAAGTTTTCTAAGCATGATAATGTGCACTTGTTCTTTATATTTTCAAGATGATCATGTATGGAGACTGTTATAAAATTGGCGTTTTTGTTGAGATACGCCGTAATCAATATTGCACAGGGTTTGACCCACTGAGCAATAGGACCAATGATATGAGTATCTTTGCTCCTGAAACAACAAAAAAAACTTTATTAATAATATGGAACACTTGCCCTCACTATATTTCTTTATTTAAAATAATAAACACACTTGATCTTCGCTGTTTTTCCAGCTCTTAAGCTATTCTCAACCTCCTCTTCCTTGATCATCTCATCTTGCTTGTATTGTAGCGACTCCCGATGATACCACTTTCATGGCTTAGTAATTTACTTCGCCATATCTCATTGGTTCCACCAAATCTTTATTTGTTATTTTCCCAATCACCTAATTTAAGGCGATTTCCCTAGCAACCCAATATCGCCTCATTTTGAGGCACTTAGATTGTCATAACTCATATTGAACTTGACGGATTCAATTCACATCACCATAATGACTTAGGTCTTATCATCCATTCATAATGGAATTGTGACATTACCCCCTCCTTTACTGGACGATGAGGCTCCTACTGCTTATACTCCCGGAGGAACTTTACATGCACTTGGTTGATGATCCAACTGCTAGCGGGGTCCTTGATAGTGTATGCATCTAAACCTGTCTTCTCAATGACTTTGAATAGCCCAATACAGATACTGGACAGCTTGTTTTTCTGGCCAAACCCATGTTGATAATGGAATAGGACCATCTCTCCATCCTTGAACTGTGCTAGACCACTTCTTCATATCCAATCATCAGCTTGGCTTTTGATTTTCTTGGATAAGATGAACGAGTATGCTTCAGTTTGTAATTTAATCAGCGTATTCATTAATACGGTCAGATAGCGTTGCAGACCTATTCTGCCAGTGTCCTCTAAACAGGCATACAGAAGTGTGGGCAGAGCAGGGTGCCGTACATAAAGA